TTTGTCGGACCACCACTTTGAGGCCATGTGGTCCACTAGGTCACCACCTGAGGCCCAGACTTCCACCGGACCACCACTTGAGGCCCTGTGCTCCATCAGGCCACCACCTGAGGCCCAGACTTCTGCCAAACCACCACCTGACGCCCGGACTTCTGCCGGACCACCACCTGATGCCCAGACTTCTACCATACCATCACCTGACGCCCGAACTTCTGCCAGACCACCACCTGATGCCCGGACTTCTGTCGGACCACCACCTAATGCCTGGACTTCTGTCGCCGAAAATCAACTTTTCCAAAAAGCTTTTCGACTTTCTCTCTCCTCAGAAAAAGCAGATATTTTATTTTGATTTTCTCTCTCTTCAAAACGACTGATTTCAGTTTTATTAAACTCAGATCGGCCCGGCCGATCGCCAGATCATCCCAGGACGATCAGACCAATTTTGATCGTCCTGGACGGTTCCCAGAACTATTTTTCGCCCGATATTTTGAACAGTGCCAATCGGCCTGGCCGATGTCCTCGATCGGCCTGGACGATGCCTACAAGAAAACACCTGGAACAAATCTGGGCAATTTCTGGAGCAGATTTTCAACTGATCGTCCCAGGACGATCCTGGAGCAGATTTTGATATTACACGAACTTCTGCCAGACCACCACCTGATGCGCGGACTTCTGCCGGACCACCACCTAATGCCCGGACTTCTGCCGGACCACCACCTGATGCCAGGACTTTTGCCAGACCACCACCTGACACTGATCTCCTGCCAACTACGATCTTTCGGACCCCTATCTCCTGCCGACTACTATCCATCCGACTTCCATCACCTACTACGGTCCTTCTGACCTCCATCACCAGACAACGGTCTTTCTGACCCCGGTCTCCCGCCAACTTTGATCTTTCAGACCCCTGTCTCCTGCCGATTACGATCCTTTCGACTTTCGTCACCTACTACGGTCCTTCTGACCTCCATCATCAGACAACAATTTTTCTAACCCCAATGTCCTGCCAACTACGGCCTTTCGGACCCCTATCGCCTGCCGACTACGATCCTTCCGACCTCCGTCACCAACTACGGTCCTTCCGACCTCCATCACCAGACAACGATCTTTTCGACCTCTATCCTATCAACTATGGTCATGCCGACCAAACAAACATGCCTATATTGTAAATCTCACCATGTAATATGTCATATATGATGTACATTTATACCATCAAGCCAATGCCTTCCCCCAAGGAAGGGCCTCATTTGTAATCAACTACAAATACTAGTGGATTCATTCAAATTGGGCAAGGCCCCATGGTTTTTCCCCCTTTTCAGGACTTTCCACATAAATACTCTGATGTCTCTTATGAATGCTACACCCTCTCTCTTATCTGATTGCGTGTTGGATTTTTGTGTAAAGCTAAGACGTTAAACTTTTTATTTCTCTATCGCCGCGAATATTCCAGGACTCAACAATTAGGATTAGCTCTTCATGGGAAAAAATAAAAAAATACATATTTATAATTATAATTGTATTTTATTAATTTATATTATTTCTAATTTAAAACAAAATATTATTTAAATTGTCTATCTACTAAGTGTCAATTAATTGAAAAAAAAAAATAGTTCTGATCTTTAAGTTATAAAATTAGTTTAAATTTAACAAATATACAAGAAAAAGTATAAATTATTTTAACAAACAAAACAATCACTTAATATAGTTTTTACTCTATTAATTTCAATTTTATTTTAATGCAAGTTAATACTCAAAATGTAATCTGTTTAAATTGATAAAAAGATTAAATAACAAACATTAATTTTTTTTTTGTATCTACTCATAAACGGAATATTATAAATAGAAGCATAATGTGTAATTTAAATTAGCAATAAGATCATGAGTCTAAAAAAATTTAAAAAGAAGCAAATTAGCTAAATAGAATAGTGCATTCTAAAGAATGCACTAAATGATTTAGTGCATTTAGAATGAACCAAATCATTTGGTGCATTCAATCTAGTCAGCCGAATGAAATTTTAAAAATATTGTAGCAATGCGCTACACAATTTGACGCATTCAATGAAATGTGTCAAACTATTTGATGCATTCCATCGAATGCGCCAAACTATTTGACGCATTTAAAATGTGTAAAATAGTTTGGTGCATTCAATGGAATGCACCATTTTGTTTGACGAGTTTGTTTCTTTTTAAATTTTATTTAATATTCTCTTCCTATTCCTAATTTAATCACCATTCATGCTTCTTAAATAAAATCCACTCATAAATTCAAAATTTATTACAAAGAACATAATAAGTGATAGTTAATTAACTTAAGTTTTTAGTATATCCTTTAGGTTGCGAGGTTTTTTTTTTTTTTTTTCCTTTTTGCCGGTCATGGCCTTGGCCAGCGGAGAAATTATTCTGTAGACCGGATGCATAACGTCGTCCGGAAACCAACAAGAATGCGCCACGTTAGCGGTACTGTGCCGCGGTACCGAGCAGTACCGAGCAGTACCAAGCCGCGGTATCGAGTAGAAGGGTGATGTGGCACATTATGGTTGGTCTCGGGACGGTTTTAAATTTGTTTAATTTAATAACGTTTATCCTTATAAAAATAAACAAGTAAACTATTTTTAAAATTACCCCTGCAATACCATTTCAAAGTTCCTGATAAAATAACTGATGTCCATCGATCTAGGTCCTTAATGGCAAGCCTTCCAACAGAAAATGCGACGTGCACAGCATCAGCAACTGCTTATGGGAGGTCTACTGATGTGATATGCCATATCTTAACCTTGCCTTTATTGAAATCTCAGCTGCTGTTGCTTTATACGTTTTCTCCCTCTCCTTCTAATTCTTTTCCATTGCTGTTATTCTATCCTTACGAGTTCATGATATTTGATCTAATAATGCCACACAACCAGAGATCTGAGATCCCCAAATGTTGCCGGAGCGCTTTGGCAAGCATTATGAAGAGATGTTGCGATCCTTCTAACAAAAGGCTTGAAAGGAGGAAGGCTTTCTTTCAGACGGCTATCTATTAGAACAACTTTTTAGTATAAAAATTAAAATTTTTATACTAAAAAACTGTTTTAAGAAACAATAAGAAAATATTAATATTAACTTAATTTTTAATTATTATATCTTATTTAAATAATAATAATTTAATAATTTAAAAATGATCAAAAGTTATTAAAAATTTGGGAAATATATAATACACATATAAAAACCTTGATCTGTCTCCCCTAAATCCACATCCCCAAGTTACCAAACCAGCAACGAACTAGAGGCGAACATTATTAGGTCCAGTAACCGGATGTAGCTCTACGTCGGTCACCACTGAGTTAGCCGGTATTTGCTCGGTATTGCTAGGTATTGCTTGGCAATAACTAGAAATACTGCTCTGTGATGACCAATACCGAGTTTTTTCTAGGAAAAACTAGGTATTGCTCGGTGTTGCTTGGTATTACTCGGTGTTGCTAGGTATTTGTCTTCACATAATGATATTTCTCGTTATTGCCGAGCAAAATCGACAAATATGTGGTTTTGTGCCTGCTACGTGGCGCGATTTAGTGCCGGCCGAACGTAGCTCTACGTCCTTTCACCGGACCAAGTTCCTGGAGAAGACATTGATGGGACCAGTAACAATCCGTTCAATGCCCTTATTTATAAAATCCAGTATTTAAGGTAAAATGGGGGATGAAACAAGATTTAACACTCATTTGGTAGCACCCACGATTTCATTTAAATAGGAGTTTGTAAATCATCTAAATCATGATTTATGAAATCCTGGGAGGAGGGGGGGTGTTAAATCCTAAAAATTGTTTGATAACATTTATGATTAATCACGTGAAATGCAGTATAACTGTTTGACAATTCAATTCAGAATTTAAAGCGGTTAAGAAATTTGACATGTATTCTTTGATAATTAAAGTACAACAACAAAATTACAAATAGAATATATCAAAGTTTTGATAAAAATACAACAATAATATAGATTTAAGATTAGTTTACACATTTTAAATAATCATCTATTTAATTAAATTAATAGTTTTTAGAACTTTCTAAATTTATAAGAATGTAATTTTTAAATAGTTGTAAAACCTAAAGTCCCCAAAATAGACTATTTAAAGCATACAAAATCTAATCAACAAATGGAATATTTATTAATTGATAATTTATTAAGTTAATTAACTCATCATTTCTATTTAGATAAATTATATAAAAATAGTCAAAAACATTAGGTGCATTTGAGCTATTTATACAAAATGGATATCCATTAACATTCTATATTGGCTTTCTATTACAGGTATAATTTGCATTTTTCATGGGAGGAAAAATCAACATGAATGCCTAAATTGTTTTTTGGAGCACTTTGAAAGAAGAAAATATCCTTAGAAACAAAAAGTTACTTCACCACAGAGTCATAACGCTAATTTTGAACAATGATAATAGGGTGCTTGTGAATAAAAGAGGAATTTTAAACTCACACCTCTTGTCTATACCTTCTCATGACCTCTATTTCAAAGCATTATTCCTCCCTACTTAAGCTTTACTCTGAAACCCGATATCTAGTTGAGGTGAAAAAACTCCACGGCCTTATCCTCAAAACCCTTCACTATAGTAATACTCTCCTTTTCAACAATTTGATCACCTCCTACTCCAAATCAAATCTCCCCTCTTATGCATATAGAGTTTTTCTTCAAATACCTTGTCAAAATCTCTTCTCATGGAATGCTGTCCTCTCCTCTTCTGCCAAGTCTGGCCACTTATCTGAAATGTGCAACATCTTCAACTCAATGCCGGAAAGGGATTGCATTTCATGGAACTCGGTGATCTCTGGATATGCCTCTCATGGTTTCCCTGAGAAGGCGGTTCACACATACAAACTTATGTTGAGGGATGGATGTTCCATGCAAAATCGAATCACTTTCTCCACGATGTTGATCATTTCATCGGCTATGGTTTCTTTCACATTGGGCATACAGGTTCATTGCCAAGGAATAAAACATGGGCTTGGATCTCATGTCTTTGTGGGTAGTCCTTTGGTTGGTATGTATTCCAAGGCTGGACTAGTATATGAGGCATGGTTAGCTTTTCAGGAGGTTAAGGAGAAGAATCTAGTACTTCACAATACAATGATCATGAGTTATCTACGATGCGGCATGATTGAGGAATCAAAGAGGTTATTTGCAGGAATGAGAGAGAGAGACTCAATCTCTTGGACCACCATGATTACTGGTCTCACTCGCAATGGTTGTGAGCTTGAAGCCATTGACTTGTTTAACAAGATGAGATATGCTGGTATAAAAATGGATCAATATACATTTGGTAGTGTTTTGACTGCATGTGGTGCTCTAGCAGTATTAGACCAAGGAAAACAGATTCATGCCTTCATTATTAGGACTCACTTTGATGACAATGTATTTGTTGGCAGTGCACTTGTTGATATGTATTCCAAATGCAAGAATATAAGATTGGCTGAGTCAATTTTCAAGCGAATGAAGGTAAAAAATCTTGTTACTTGGACTGCCATGCTTGTGGGATATGGTCAGAATGAATGCTATGAGGAAGCTATTAGAAGCTTTCTTCAATTGCAAAGGCATGGTATTGAGCCTGATGATTTCACCATTGGGAGTGCAATAAGCTCTTGCGCTAATATAGCAAGCTTAGAGGAGGGAGCACAGCTTCATTGTAGGGCTATTCTCTTAGGGCTAAATTCATTCATCACTGTCTCAAATGCTTTAGTTACACTATACGGTAAGTGTGGTAATATCAACGACTCTCATCGATTATTCGATGAAATGATTACTAGGGATGAGGTCTCATGGACTGCATTGGTCTCAGGATATGCTCAAATTGGGAAGGCAAAGGAGACAATTGAGCTATTTGAGAGGATGATGGCTAATAATGTCAAGCCCGATGGGGTCACCTTCATTGGTGTATTATCAGCTTGTAGTCGAGCCGCAATGGTGGAGGAAGGATACTATTATTTTAACTCCATGATCAATGACCATCAAATCGTTCCTGTCGCTGATCATTATACTTGCATGATTGATCTTCTTAGTAGAGCAGGAAGATTAAAAGAGGCTGAGGATTTCATAAAGAAGATGCCTTGTCGTCTAGATGCAATTGGTTGGGCTACACTTTTAAGCTCATGCAGGGTTCATGGCAACATTGAAATGGCAAAATGGGCAGCTGAGTCTTTGATTGAATTGGACCCTCAAAATCCTGCAAGTTATTTACTTCTTTTGAATATGCACGCAACAAATAAAAATTGGGAGGAAGTGGCTCAAATAAGAAAGGCAATGAGAGATAAGGGGGTGAGGAAGGAGCCTGGATGCAGCTGGATCAAGTACAATAACAAGGTTCATATCTTCTCTGCCGATGACCAATCACATCCAGATTCAGAAAAAATCTATGCTGAACTGGAAATGCTTGGTTTAAAGATGGAAAAAGAAGGTTACAGACCAAATACGAGCTCTGTACTGCATGATGTGTCTGAGTCTGAGAAGAGATTTATGCTTGGCCACCATAGTGAGAAGCTTGCCATTGCTTTTGGCTTAATATTCTTGCCGAACAAGTTTCCTATAAGAGTGTTCAAGAATCTAAGAGTTTGTATTGATTGTCACAGTGCCACCAAGTATATATCTAAGATAACCGGACGAGAGATTCTTGTAAGAGATGCTGTACGTTTTCATAAGTTCAATGATGGCTTATGCTCATGTGGAGATTTTTGGTGATTTATTTTTCTTCTCATCATTTTTAAGGTATATACAACACCAATATTGCTTTTTCCCCCATGAACTTAGCTCACCAAGTTTTTATATATTACACATTCACAATCCCCGGGAAGTTTTTGTTAAATATAGGCCCTTTTTTAGGGGAATAGGAAATAATTACTTTCAGGAGTTTCAACTCACTGAATCCATACTTGAGGTTTTTCTTGGCCTTTCTTCGTGGAAGCTCATTGTTTTGCCGACTTAAAGAAATTGACATTAAAGGATTAGATTTGATAAATTTGGACGAGGAACAGCTCACTATTATCAAACGTTCATTAATAATGCACTTAGCAAATCACTAAAGATGCATGATACAGTTTTTAAGAGATTCCTGTGTTGAAATTTCATTGCAGCTCGGTTACAAAGCTGGTGGAAATATATTTTGTCAATAATTTGGGTAAGGGAAAACTCTTGATTCAACTTATTTTTGAGTTACTTGTTTGATGAGGCTGATATTTAAATCCATTTCTTGTGTTTTAAGTGAACTGACTCTATGCATGGATTATAAAGGACAGATGATTTCCACTCACAGACGAGGCCTAACAGATCACATGGCCTCAGGCATCCCGCCATCCATCTGTAACTGACAAACTATATAACAGCTATACACGTGTACTCACAAAACTCTATAAATACACAAGTATCTCCATGTAATAATGCACAAGAAATAATAGATGTTGCATTAAACACTGCAACTTTTTCAGATTCTCTCTTTTCAGCTCCTTTATGTTATTAGAGCAGGAAGATTCCAGCGGCAGGTAAATCCCTAAAAACCTCCAATGGCCCAATCTGATAGGAAATACTTGGTTTCAAGTAGTTCCTAGCAAAAACTGAAGTAGAACAAGCAGAAAACTGCTGTTTACAGCAGTGGACAGCAGTTTTTCTCAAGAAAACAGTGAGAAATCGCGGGAAAACTGAGAGAAAAGTCACAGAAAAGCTTGTATTTCACTAGAAGAAGAAGAAAACAGCAAAGATACAACTGATCCTCAATTCGAGAGGAGGATCGATCTCTCCCAAATCTCTAGACGTCGCTAGAGCCCAAAGAAAACCTAAATCTAAGAGATCTCAAGTTTTAGCCAAATTCAAGATGATCAAACCCTAGAACAATCAACTATTTAATACATACAATTCAAAAGGATTTCCCTAAACAGTCCCTGCAATCAATTTTCCTCATAAACTTCCTAAAAAAAAAACTTCCAAAACGGCTCTACGTGGGTTGGTCGGGCCGCTCGTTCTCCGCCAGAGCTGGATTCTCCGCCTGTTCGTGATTTTCGCCCGTGAACCGGTCCCGCCTGGACCGGCTGGACCGGTCCAGTGGACCGGTCTAACAATACACCCCTCGCAAAGATTCACATTGTCCGCAAGGTGGAAAGACGACACCCTCCATTCCTTCTTCATCACAAACAGTAAGAACTTGAAGAGTCCGGTCCTTACACCTGTGCCCCGGCGAATACCTCTCATCACATCTGAAACAAAGTCCTTTTGCCCTCTTCTCCTGTAATTCTGTCTCAGTGAGCTTCTTGAAGTTATCCCCACTCCCTCCTCCTATTGGCTTCTCCCTGGTGATCTCATTATTGTTGACTGATGCAGGCCCCTTTTTTGCTAAAAGAGTGGTCGTAGTCTTGTAAGAGCCTCCTGAGCTGCTGCTCCTAGCTCCCTTCTCCAGGTTATTCTGATTTTCTACCAGCTGTGCCAACTTCATTGTCTCCTCCAAGTCACTAGGCATCAGAACTTTAACTGCCGCTCGGATCTCTGCCTTCAACCCCTTCATGAACATACTCACCTCTCCTCCCTTCAACATCATCACCTCGACGCTGAATACCTTCAAATTCAGCACCTCGACGATGACGTTCCTCCCTTCTTCCTTCAAAATCTCCCCCTCGACGCTGAATTCTTTCGAATTCAGCACCTCGGCGATGAGATCCCTCTCTCCTCCCACCAAAATCACCCTCCCTTCTGTCATATCCCATACTCATCTCTTCCCTCGAAAGAGGCTCTAGAGGAGGCCTGTCGTTCTCTTCCTCTAGGATCTCCACCTCCACATTTCTCCTCCCCCGCAAGGGGTTCGGATTTCCTCCCATGCCATGGCCGTCGGCGATCTCTCTTACTTTCGATGTCGCCGGATTGGTTTTCATCTCAAGTAGTTTCTTCAACATTTTCTCCATTGCGGTGAACTTCCCCTCCAACCTTTCATTGTTGGAGGTGATTTGATTTTGAAGGTTGAAGAATCTTTCCTCCAAATCGACTTTCAATTGGCTGACTTCTCCTTCCAAGACGTCAAACTTCTTTCCGGCCATCGTTCTTCTCAAGATTCATGAAGATCTTTTTTCCGGAAACAAAACTCCCGCTGAAATTTCAGGATTTCAGCCGCCAACGGTCCCAAAAACGATACTCTGATACCAATTTGATAGGAAATACTTGGTTTCAAGTAGTTCATTGCAAAAACTGAAGTAGAACAAGCATAAAACTGCTGTTAACAGCAGTGGACAATAGTTTTTCTCAAGAAAACAGTGAGAAATCGCGAGAAAACTGAGAGAAAAGTCACAGAAAAGCTTGTATTTCACTAGAGGAGGATCGATCTCTCCCAAATCTCTAGACGCCGCTAGAGCCCAAAGAAAACCTAAATCTAAGAGATCTCAAATTTCAGCCAAATTCAAGATGATCAAACTCTAGGACAATCAACTATTTAATACATACAATTCAAAAGGAATTCCCTAAACAGTCCCTGCAATCAATTTTCCTCCTAAAATCCATTCAAAATTTGGACGAGGAACAGCTCACTATTATCAAACGTTCATTAATAATGCACTTAGCAAATCACTAAAGATGCATGATACAGTTTTTAAGAGATTCCTGTGTTGAAATTTCATTGCAGCTCGGTTACAAAGCTGGTGGAAATATATTTTGTCAATAATTTGGGTAAGGGAAAACTCTTGATTCAACTTATTTTTGAGTTACTTGTTTATGAGGCTGATATTTAAATCCATTTCTTGTGTTTTAAGTAAACTGACTCTATCCATGGATTATAAACGATAGACGATTTCCGCTCACAGACGAGGCCTAACAGATCACATGGCCTCAGGCATCCCAGCCATCCATATGTAACTGACAAAATATATAATAGCTATACACGTGTACTCACAAAACTCTATAAATACACAAGTATCTCCATGTAATAATGACACAAGAAATAATAGATGTTGCATTAAACACTGCAACTTTTCCATATCCTCTCTTTTCAACTCATTTATGGTATTAGAGCAGGAAGATTCAGTAGCAGGTAAATTCCTGAAAACCTCCAATGGCCTAATCATCCTCATCTCAAATCGGCAACCCACCATCAGATCTACGAGCAGACACCTGCACAATTGCTGCATCCCTGAAATTTGTTATTTCAAATATTAAAATCATAGTTCCCACCCAATTATCCAATGATAATTACTCCATATGGAGATCTCAGGTTACTAAGTTACTTAGAGCCTACGGATTTGCTGCATTTAGTGATCCAACAATTCCTCCACCATCCCACCTCCAGCAAACACCAGATGGCTTGACCATTACAAATCTTAAATATACAGAATGGGTTCTCATAGATCAAAACCTAGCTGCAGCCTGCAACCCTTTGCTACACCAGAACCCTAACTATCCTCTCATATGTTCTTCACCTAGACTCCTCTTTAGCCATTTGGACAACCGTTGAATGATGGCTACAATCTTCTAACATGTCAAGAGTTATTCAACACAAAAATGAACTACACATTGTATCAATGAAGCAACACACAATGGCTGAATATCTCACTGAAATCAAGACCCTGGTAGACAGAATAGCATCAACAGGAGCTACTATTGACAAGGAAGATATTATACTCTATACACTAAATGGTCTACCACCAGCATTCCAACTATTCAAAAGTTCCATTCACACCATGGTGCATCCCCTCAACTTAGATGACCTGTATGCATTTCTGATTAGTGAAGAAATCAACCTCCAAGCTGAAGAAACTTGACACCACACCCTTCCAGACCAGAATACAGCATTATACTCAACCAGAGGCAGAGGACGAGAGACAGAGACCGCTTCATGCAGCAGACTATCCGTCTCAACACCCAACCAACAACACTATGTCAAATTTACAACAAGAAAGCCCATTCTGCCACAACTTGTTGGCACAGATTCAATATCCTACACCCCTCCACCATAAAAATTAACCACATCCCTAACTGCCACCAATGATAACCCCAACCCGGATTGGTATTTAGATTATGGAGCAACCTCTCACCTCACCAATGACATTAATAGTCTCATACAATATCTTAATTGGAGATGACATCACACTCCCCATAACTCATACCGGAGCTGGACTTCTACCAACAATCTCTCGTAAGCTTCAATTACCCCAACTTCATATCCCAACATTATCTCATAACCTTCTTTCTATTTATCATCTAACCAAATACAATAACACTACCATTTCATTTGATGCTTCTGATTTTATTGTCAAGGATCTCACGACAAACAAAACCTTACTCAAGAGCCCAAGCCGTAATGGGCTCTATCCGACCCCAACTCCTCCACGCATCACTCAACAATCAGCCTTCTCAGCCATCACAAGTCATCAAGCTACAGCCATTTGATACAACAGACTTGGACATCCTCACACCCGCACCATGACAATCATCTCCAACACCCACAAACAGCTCAACATACCTACCTTATCTTTTTTTATGTTCAGCATGTAAGGTCTCTAAAGGCCACACTCCAATTTTCTAGTTCTATTTCCCGATTAAAAATGTCATTAGAACTTATTCATTCATATGTATGGGGTCCCTCCCCAACCACTTCACATCAAGGTTTTCGCTACTATGTTACTTTCATACACAATTTTTTTCGTTTTACATGGATTTTTCCAATGAAATGTAAATCAGAAGTACCCTCCATTTTTGTTACATTCTAAACTATGATAGAAAAACAAATTCCCCCACCACATCAAACAATTCAGGTTGGATGAAGGCACAAAGTACGTTAGCAGAACCCTACAAACATACC